AATTATAATTATAATTATAATTATAATTATAATTATAATTATAATTATAATTTATTTATGCTACCCAATTCTCAACAACTCTGGGCAGCTCACAGCAATCAAAGAAAGAAATTACAATAACATCAATAAAACATAAAAGATAAAAGATGGCAAGCATGATGAAACGAGGGCTCTCCCTCTCCCTTGCCAAAGGCCTGGGTGAAGAGCCAGGTCTTCACAGCTCTTCTAAACAGCAGGACTATTGGATCTCGAAGGGAATCTCATTCCAGAGGGCAGGCACTGCTACAGAAAAGGCACGCTTCTGGGGTTGTTATAGATGTAATGGACAGTAGGAATAACCTTGAAGTACAGGAGGAAGAGTCATAACCAAGGCAATGATCAAATAAAAGAAATCTGAGCCCAGGGCAGAAATGTAATTTGAGTAAGCGTCTCAGACATGAGCCTCCCTAGTTCTCATGAAGATAAAGGGAATGGGTGGGGAAGCACATTCAGACTTGCAAGATTCTGTTACTGTAACATTATAATAAACATAACTCTGGCATCCTAGTCTGGTCTACTTTTAAGGGCAATAGATGATATTATTTAATCAAAGGAACCCAAAGCACATCAACTCTACAGGATCAAATCAGCAGGGTACATGTTATGAGAGACAGGCAGAATTTACTTTTTATCTACTTTTACTCAGAGTGGTAATACCCAAGCCAAATGGAATCTGAGAAGTTGCTCCATTGTTGTATCAAGAAATGCCTGGAATTCATATGCAGTCTGAGGAGATTGTTCATCGGTGAACCTGTGGCAGACTGCTGTGATTGTGCAGCCTGATGTATTTAGCATGGAGTAGAAAACATGACCCATCTGATAAATATATCTGTTTGTGTTTGGTTTTCTTCTGCTCCCCTCATCCATTTTTTTTTCACACAGACACCTTCTGTACATTTGGAAATTTGGAAAGCAATTACCAGCCAAGAAACCGTGTGGGCACTGTGTTTAATTATAGCAGATACCTAAGGAGTCTAATAAAATAATTGAGATGTTTCAGTTTTCTACGAAGAGAGAAACCCATTTTTATCTCTCTCAAGATGAAAAGTTTCAAAACAAAAAGACTTTGAGGAAGCCTACCAATCACTAGTCCTTTGGGCAAGGATCCTCTATTTCCTTTGTGCCCTTATGTATAGGAGAGCATCTCCCCAGAGAATTGTGACCCACAGCTGCACTTCCAGATTGTAGGTCAGTCAAGGGTAGACGTTAGCGGTGGTATGTGGAGAGTAAGCTTTATAGTTATGCTGTTTTCCAAAAGATGCTGAAAATGGTGGTGCAAAGTAACTGCAGACAGTTTCTGTTCAACTACCGCTAATGTATTAATTAGGGCTGGAATCAGAAATTTTAATTTGGGATTTCTCTCAAAAATATACGTGCTTCTGTTTTTAGAGTTTGAATTAGTAAATGAAGCACTCATTCTGAAATTCCCAGTTTTGGCTGGTGTTCTAGTTGTGGTCTTACCTGGGGCAGGAGGAGCTGGCTACACTAATTTAACACCACACAGTTGGACTACTGTAATGCAAGAGCACTCATTCTGAAATTCCCAGTTTTGGCTGGTGTTCTAGTTGTGGTCTTACCTGGGGCAGGAGGAGCTGGCTACACTAATTTAACACCACACAGTTGGACTACTGTAATGCACTCTACTTGGGCCTGCTCTTAAAGAGTATTCAGAAACTGCAGTTGGTCTAAAATGCACTGGGCTGGATCCATATGGATTCTCAGCATTGGGGAGCATATTACACCAGTTTTGTGGACCCTGCTGTAATGGGCTGTGAGAATAACCTTGGGAGACAGAAGGAAGAGCACTCATTCTGAAATTCCCAGTTTTGGCTGGTGTTCTAGTTGTGGTCTTACCTGGGGCAGGAGGAGCTGGCTACACTAATTTAACACCACACAGTTGGACTACTGTAATGCACTCTACTTGGGCCTGCTCTTAAAGAGTATTCAGAAACTGCAGTTGGTCTAAAATGCACTGGGCTGGGTCCATTTGGATTCTCAGCATTGGGGAGCATATTACACCAGTTTTGTGGACCCTGCTGTAATGGACTGTGAGAATAACCTTCTGTGGGAGACAGAAGGAAGAGCTGCCGCCTAGACAACAGTCTGATAAACGAAATCTGAGTCCAAAGCAGGAATGGATGTGGAAAAAGGATCTCAGAAGGGACTCTCCCCCATTCTCTGGAAAGTAAAGGTAGGAGAGGGGAGAAGTGTTTTCAGACTTGCAAGATTCTGTTACTGTAACCTCAGACTAAAGGTAGTGTTAGTATTCATGGTTTTGGTTTCCCGTCTGGACTGTCTTGAAGGGCTGACACTTTAATTGGTTACCAGTTGGTTTCCAGGTCCAATTTAAGGTGCTGGTATTGATCTATAAAACCCTTTATGCCTTGGTGCCTAGGTACCTTCAGGATCACCTACAGTACTCCCATCAGTATCAGCCTGACCAATTCAATCTATCAGAGAGAAACCGCTGCAAACCCCACACTTTCAGAAGGTTCAGGAATCAAGGTGAGACAGTACTACTTCTCTGTAGTAGCTCAAACATTGTGGAACAGCTTCCCTGAGGAGATCAAACTGTCTCCCTCTCTGCTGATCTTTCAGAAACTCCTGAAGCTCCTGAATTGTTGCAGGGAGCTTTCCCCTGATGTGAATTTTGCCGTTTTTATATTTATTGACTTTATGAGTAGTTTATATTGCATGGCTTTAATTTTTCTATTTTAATTTGTATCTGTTCTATATGAGCTGCCAAAAGTCTTTTTTTTAATTTTGGTGGCATAGAAATTAGATAGATAGATAGATAGATAGATAGATAGATAGATAGATAGATAGATAGATAGATAGATAGATAGATAGATCAGTGCCTACCTGTTCAGTCTAAGCCTGCTTAGGCACAGTTTTCTGGCTTGATTTTTGTGTTAAGATACTTGCACAAAATATTCTAACTGACTAATTTACATGACATCCCAGGCAGTCCTACCAATAACCTTGTCTGTTCTCCACTATTACATTGGGAAAGTCACATGCTAGAAGTTTGCACACAAAAGAAAATTGGATTTTAGTTCCGCTTCAGCAGTACTGTTAGTTGCCTCTTTCATTTCAGACTACTTTCTACCCTCACACAGGCTCCATAACACAATCTTGCTTTGAAAATTTGAAGCATTGTTTTTTAAAATCAATTGAAAAAATTCTAATCTGTTTTATATCAATAGATCTCAGGATAGATTACAGTCAATGAAACATGCCCCCATAAAACAGGTAGATATAATACATTGAGATCAATATCTTGCCTCTCCCCATTGATTTTCATAGGAAATGGTTGTGGAGGTAACAAGATAATTGATGAGGAGTTTTTTTTTCCCACCTCAGTTATTTCAGGAATCAATTCAGTTTCACTCTATGTATTGCCTGTCGGTGATCATGAAACTGTTAGGGAGTTGATGAGACTTCACCTCAAGTATTGTATCCAGTTCTAGCCCATAGATTCAGGTGAGCTAGAACAGAGATTCAAAAAAGGGCAGTGAAAATTATCAGAGGAGTAGAGATTAAGTTCTGTAAGGTGATATAAAGGGAATTGAGTATATTTAACAGAGGGAGATATAATAGTACTCTACAAGTACTTGAGAGGATGTCAGATTGAAGGACAAGATCAATTCTCCCATCACCAAGAATGCAGGAAGCAGAATAAATGACTTTAAATTGTGAGAAACAAGATTCTGATTAAACATCAAGAAAAGCATTTTCTAACGATATGAGCAATTAAGCGCTGGAACCATTTACTAAGGGAGGTGATGAGCTCCCTTTTGCTGGATGTGTTCCAGTGGAGGCTAGACAGCCATCTGTTGAGGATGCTTTAATTTGGATTCCTGCACTTAGCAGGGCTTGGACTGGATTGTCTAAACATTCCCTCCCAGGTCTTTGATTCTGTGAGTCAGGCTCACACCAAAATTTAAGCATGGATTTTTAAATCAGGAGTGAACTACAGTTTTTAGTGAACTACAGCTTTCAGTGGACCTAAGCCAACATGGCCAAGGGTGTAGGATGCCAGGAATAGCAATTCAGCATATTTGGAGGAACAGTTTCCCCATCTTTGCTTTAAATATGACAATACTTGTCATATTTAAATATGACAATACTTGTCAATCTTGGCAAGCTTTCTCAGACTGTTCTTTCCTCCTTTGGCTTATTTCAGTTTTCATAAAAGTACAGGTAGTCCTTGCTTACCGACGTAATTGTGACCAGGAACTCCATCCCTAAGCAATGCAATCATAAGGCGTGATGTCATGTGACCGTGCCGACTTATGACAGCAGTTCCAGCATTCCCAGTTGCCATTGTTAGGCAAATCCTGTGCGGTTGCAACATCCCACGGCCACAGGATCGCCATTTATGACCTCCTGCCAGCTTCCCCATTGACTTTGCTTCTCAGAAGCTGGCAGTAAAGGTTGCAGTTCACAATCACGTGACCGTGGGACAATGCGACCATTATAATTGTGAGCTAGTTGCCGAGCACCCGAATCACGATCAGATGACCGTGGGAATGCTGCAATGGCTGCAACTATGAGGACTGATCATGAGGACATGTCGTGGGTGCCCCTCGTTTAGCACCATCATAACTTCAAACAGTCTCTGAACAAGTGGATGTTAAGCAAGGACTACATATACAGTGGTACCTCTAGTTACGAACACCCCTCCTTACGAATTTTTCAAGATACGACCA